AAATAATGGGTTAAGTGGTTGTCCCCGGAACTATAGACTCGAAAAGTCAAACGCGGGTGCTTTAAACCACCAACGCAACTCTTACTATAGGAATGAGTAAACCATGGATGAAGTCAAAAGCAGTGAGCAGACAAGCCAAGAACTGTCTTTGTTTTTTACAAGTCAAGATTTTTGAAGAACAAAAGTCCTGTTTAGACAATCATCATCATTACCACATCATCATCATCATCATGCATTTATTAACGAAAATCCGAGGATTACATCGAAATTTGACAGTAAAAACAAACAAAAAAGAACACGCTTCGGATCAATTCGGAATGCTATGCCCCAAAAAGTCTTGATTTTGATCAGCCAATCTAAAAAATCCATGATCAGGGACCAGAAATTCTACCGTTCTCATCAATCTAATATGAGAAATAAATGCAGAAAAAAAATAAAGATAAGCTCCTGAACCCTCACCTAGATTCATCAGTTGGAATATGATTCCAGTATCTTCGATCATCAATCCCCGTTATATGTAATCCCTTTGAAGATGTTGCCATACATAAACCACCTGTGCTCTTATCTAGCCATACTTTCTGCAAAAAAGAACAACAAAACTGAGTTAAATTAAGAACACAACTAGATTATTACTAAGATTTGCTATGTTCTTTTGAACTATTTACAAATAAATCAAATCCACGAATAAATTTATTAAAGAATTCATGAAAAGAACCAGTCCACAAGAAAGTCAAAGACCCAGAAACTAAAATCCCAGATTTTCTCGGCATCCAAACAAAAAAAGGCCAAAAAACAGAACAAAAAACATGCCTTGGTGCCACCATCAAGAGTATTAGCCCTACAGAGCCTTGAATAAATATCTCGTTTACCCAAATTTTCAGGCACGGAGGGAAGAATTTTATCAACGAGAACTTGATAATTGGGTGGAAGTTTCGATTCCCAAACAAAATCAGCCCAAGAAGCACCTCTGAATGCCCTGTTCAACTTCGCCAGTTTACAAATCTCTGGCGGATCCAAAGACTCAATAATTGAAGCCACACAGCTCTCCGGCAAATCCCCCAAACTGGGTGATGACGATGGAGAATCAGATGATAAACAGTCGATGAAGAACAAAGCAGATAAATTGGCACCCATCGAGAGAAAGCCAAAAGCAAAAGAGAACAGAGAACTAGAGAGTTCTAAAGCAGATTACTGATTTTATAAAAGAGTGGGAGAGAGAAACAGATAGATGGTAAACATGAACGCGTGCTTGGTTTTTTTAATGATCTTTGCTTCTTGTTTCTGTGCTTTTGTGTATTATTTATATTTGATGACGAAAAAGGGCGACAACAGGACAGGGAAGACTTGTGCTTTCCTTCCTGACGATCTAATCTGCATATTATTATTATGAAAATAATATAAATGCACATTATGGATAAGTATTTACCCTAAATCAAAATTTACGGATATTAATTACAAGGGATTTATAATTTTTTGGATAAGGATTTATCACTTAATTATGAATAACTTTTATCTGATATTTTTTTTTAAATTTTATCAATTAAATCATTTAAATGATATTAATTAAATCACTCACAATTGATATTAAAATATTCATCGTTTGATATGGTGAAAATAAATTGTAAAAAATACTTTAAACTTAAATATGAATTAAGCGATGTCAACAGTTAAAGAATATTGTTATTTATTAAGATTTCAGGTTTGAGCGAACACCACATATATAAGAATATAAGTCTTTAATATCAAATTATTGAGAGTCTTTGAATAAATTATCTTGTATTTATTTCTGATTGCAAGTATAAAAGCATCTAAACCATTGAAACAAATATATATATAAATATATTGAACTATAAATAATCTAAAATTTAAAATAAAAATAATTTAAAATTATATATTTTTAATTTAAATTAAAATATAGATATTCAGATTAAAATATATTCATACTTACATGGTCATGAATTAAATTTATCCTAATTTTTATACATTTATTTAATAAAATTTAGTTACACATATTTCAGTGAAATTAATTAACTAAACAATGAATAAAAGATTCAAAAATAATTATAACCAGTTACGAGCACAATCCTTAACTCTTATAATAATTAAATGGTTTCAATTATAAGTAATTATATAAACATATTATTTATATTTAATTACAATTAATTATATTTAAATTTAATTAATTTTTCAAACATAGTCTTAAAAGAGAGTGAGTTAATTATTTATACTTAATTTTCAATTTGATTAATTGAATTAATAAGATGATAATATGTACTCCGAAACTCGTCTTAGTAAACATTTATATTTATAATTTTTACAGTTATTTTAATATGTTATATGTTTATATATAATGATTTAATATTTATTTATATTAGATTTGCTAATATAGAATGGTAAATACTATGGGTTTGAAGCTCGAAGATCAGATGATTCAAATCACAAAACATGGCCCACTTGTACTGTTGAGCCGAATATGACCACAACAATATATCACCGCTTCAGAAATATCTTCATTTGACAGCTATGAATTTTATTTATTTCTTAAAATATTTAAAAAATCATTTTAGCATAAATAATATTACGCAGGAAATTACATTTAAATATATTTAAAATTATAATATTTATAAAATTACAATCGAATTTACATTTGTTAATTCATATTTTTAATCAATTTAATAAATATAGTTATTTATAATATAAGAAGTTTAGATTGAACTAGGTATACTTCAGATATAATTTAAATTCAAATAAACAGGTTTCAAATTTTTATTTATTTATTTGAAATTTTATTAAATAATAAATTAGAATCATATCACATTTATCCTACGAGTGCAAACAATCATTTATTTAAAAGAAAATATTATTTTTAATTAAATTATTAAAAATATAAATACTTTTAGTAAAGAGATGCCAAAGATTATTTTATTAAGTTTGAGATCAGGCGCAATAATTAATGTTGAAATGAAAACAACTTTCAATTCTTCAATCGTCCGTGGAATGTTGTAACACTCGTTTTGATAATGTATTTTAATTATATCCTAAATAAATTAATATTTTATCAACGACTATATTAATAATTAATGCGATCATAAAGTTAAATACACGTAACACATTTTTGTATCATTATATTTTTAACAAACTAATACATGGTAATTGTTAACTAATTAAGAACATAAATTAATGACGAAATATTATAAAACAAAGATGCCACGTTAAGCATATGTTTAAGCTGTCGTATCGAACTCTGCTTTTTGGAATGTGGATGTGTGAGCGGCCGCATTCTGTCCTAGCTGGATATTTGGCTTTATTCATTCATTTATTTATTCTGTTTTGTCACATTGTGATGAAACCTTCTGTTGGTAGTATATGGATCGAAGTTAGTGGATGAGGAAATTCGTCACATAAAAATTCGAACTTATTATATATTTTAAATATTTTTATTAATAATATATTTTCATTTTAAAATTTTATAAACTTATATTTATATAAAATTTTAAAAATTTATTATCCTAACATAAAATTATGCGTATATATACACAATGAAAAATATTATAATTTATGACAGTTAAAAGTATGGGGAAGGATGATTAAATCAGTAATTTATAATTCATATTTTTATTTAAATGAAAAATCATTGATCGATTATCTTTTAAAAGTGAAATTAAAATTTTATTTCTTTTTGTTCTCGCTAGATGTTTTACTCATATAATATGCATTGAATATTTAATGATCATGTGATTGTTTTACCATTAGATTGAATGTAAAAATGTGCACATTCGAATCTATCAAATGATCTCAATGATAAAAGAAAATATTATTTTTCTTAGAGATATTAAGTTTAAGCAACAACATTTGTTGATTGTATGTATTGTTAACTGGTCAAAAAAAAATTAAATAAATATTATTTTATAATCACTCTAAACTATTAAAAATATACAAATAAGATTTAAATCAATCGTCAAGCTAATAAATATATTTTTACGATTCGATACATGGATATGTTAATCTCTGCGATTATTAGTTATCAAACTTTATAGATAATTTTATAATCTTTCAAGTTAGTAAGATGTGAAAAATATCTGCAGAAGAAATGGTTTAGCTGTGAAAGAACATATACTGTTTGTTGAAGACGACGGGCATAATGATTAGGAGAAAGAAGACGGTGCAAATAATTCAAGAGCTTAATTTTGATGCCGACGTTAACGGCTCATCGTACTGTAACGTAGACCATGCTCAACAACTTGTTATCTGTTTCTTTGTAGTGTACCATACCGTGTTCAACATGAGACTCTATTTAAGTTGATTGATAGAAAAAAGGGCAATTTCACATAATATTTTGATATTGGTGAATAATTTAAATTTTATTTTTATTTTTTTATTTCTCTAAATACATTATTTTTAAATTTGTAATCTAGTTTTTTATTGATAGTTTATAAATTTTGAATTAAAAAAAAAACTAAGATATTCAACAATAATTTTAGAAATTCCTCTAGAAAATAATTGTAGTTTTAAATATTGATATGATTCAATCAAAATGATAAGATAAGAGGACATGCAAGTGGATACGAGGATGGTATAAATGTCCTAACCTGGGAAATGACAACATTTTCATTGAGATTTTTTAAGACCAAAGTTTTAAAACTATCGTCATAATAATTATTAAATCAACTAGTAATATAAGTTCATCTATATATCATGTTTAAAGGTTTGAATTTGATGGCTGATAAAAACAAACATACGCAGAACATCAAAAAGAACAGGACGTGCTTGTTGCTATGTTGAGCAAAGAGTAAATAAAGCAAAACTACGATGATGTGAAAGAACACGTTGTTCATCAATGACAAGATAGATGAACTCGTAGATATTTGAACTCGAATGTTATACCATGAATTTGCTCCATGACAAGTAATTGTATAAACATAAGATATTTTGTCACTCGGATAAATAAGTTGTATCCTATCCAGTATTTTCAACCACACGGAAACCCTGAAGAAATTCCACGGTTCCAATGAACCTCTAAAGCCTCATACTAGTTTTTCTATAGTATTCTTGCAACAGTTTGTGGATTTTATTAGATCAACTCGAGAAATAGGGCTTCTTGTTTGTTTGTTAAGCCGAGTTCATTCAGTGTTAAACTGCTCTCTCCGTCACCGAAAGCACGCCTCGGGTATGGCCTCACCTGTTGAAAACGACAATTAATGTGCGAGATATTCCTTGCATGAAGGTAAGTAACCAATATCTATGTCTCTGACTCGAGTGCGAGTGTTGGATACGGGGAGTACGTGCGAAACGAGAATGTTCGTACCCGAGTTCAGAAACATGTTTGACATGAGTGTCGGAAATGATTATTTCAAAAGAGAAATGAAGAGTTGGAGAAAACATAGGTGAGTATTGTCCTAAAATAGTGAAAACATAAACCATGCATCTATCTTAGACTTGAAGTGAAGCCAACAACACTATGGAACAAGGCAAAAAGCTTGGGATGAAAATTTTACCAATCAGTAAGTTCCCGTCTTGACTCCTCTTCCGATATCTATGTAGTCAAACAGAGACTGCAAAGCATAACAAAATCAGGTCGAATATTAAGCCTACTGCACAAGGAAAAGAAATAGAAGTGAACGTTCATTCACAAAATTTACCTGCAGCCTGTCAGACTTGAGAAATAGACGGCCCCTACGACTGCCATCTGGCATTCGCACTAGAAGGTTTACAGCATTTTTCTCATTGGCTGATGGCTCCTGAGGCAGAGAACTCAACTAAAGCCTAAATGGAGTATAGCGGCATGATCTTATGTTGATTGCAAACAAAAGCAACAAAATGTATTATTTTTTTTTCTAGTAGAGAGAAACCTAAATTATCTGAAAAATAGAATGCAATTTCTATCATATTCAGTTATACATCCATGGGATGGCTTGAAATAATTTTGACAACAATTTGTTCAAGATTTACAAGTTTGGTTTTGCCCCGTCCATGCATGTATCAAAGTTTGGTTTACATACAATACATGTTTACTGGTAAAGTTTTAATCGTCCCATAAAATCATAAAAGTAAACAAGTAAAGAATATACTTAATGTTAGAATCTCATCCAGGTTTACCGATGATTGGAGCATAACTAATTACCTGTTTTCTTTGTTCTTCTTCAAGAGCAGCTTTTCTAGCTGCTTCCTCCTCTAAACAGAAAGCTTCAGCTTCTTGAATTGCCTTAAACTCTTTTTCTCTATCCGCTTGCAATGCTGCATTATACTCATCATCCTGAAAGCACCATGTACGCAGGAAACTGTTAGGCCATTACTTCAGGCCCAAAATTAGAAATATATAACTTTCTGTCAGAGCACAAATAAGGAGAAAAATAAAAACTAACTTGCTGTTCCCGTATCAGCCGTTGAGCAGCCAAAGAGGGTGATGGAGGATGAGGGGCACGCCAGGGATTGGATCCCTCAGGTTGAATGAACTGATGAGGTGCATAGGCAAAACGATATCCACTTTCAGGGATTCCACCAAACATTGCAGCCTCAAGCATGACTGCCTCATCATGTTCCACAGAAGAGATACCTCCCCACTATGATATGGTACAGAGAACAAGCCAAAATTTACTTTAGTAAAGCACATAGGTGAAAGGCATTAGTTAGAAGAGAAAGTCTAAGGTTTAAACCTCATCAGAAGGGAATGCATTTCCATTGTTCAATGGGAGATTCCCTATGCATATGGTACAGAGAACAAGCCAAAATTTACTTTAGTAAAGCACATAGGTGGAAGGAAATAGTTAGAAGAGAAAGTGTAAGGTTTAAACCTCATCAGAAGGGAATGCATTTCCATTGTTCAATGGGAGATTCCCTATGCCTTGCTGTCCAGGACTTGATGGTGAACTGGGCTCCACAACTCCAACTTCATTTGCAGATTCCCTGGACCTTGACCTAACTAGGCGCTGCTCATTCCCATCTTCAGCTTCATCTTGAATGGAAGAGCTTCCTTCCATTAACCTACATCAATTCAATTCAGCCAGCTATAAAATTAAAAGAAGGAATATACACTTACGGGTTTGTACAATAACATAATGCCTATCGCTTGACAAGTGACAACGAGTCTACCTTCCATTTGAGGCTGGCATGTTTACAAGATGTTCCTCATCTGGTTTAGAAGTCTCCACTTGTGACGTTCCAGAACAGGAACCCTGCTCACGCAATGCCTTCTCTTGCTCCGCAGCCTGAATATTGTCATGTTAGACAAAACGAATAGATTATTGTAGTAAAATGTGACCTGAACAAAGTACAGTACAACAAACCATCAAAGACGTTGAAACTGCTTCTTCAAGTGCAGCATCGTCCGAATTTGACATATTATGCCAAGGTCCAGGATCACTCAACTCCTGCAAAATCATGAAAAGGCAATCCATAAAACAAGAATCTACAGCGACGACAAGCATGAAGAGAACCACAACAGTATCAAACTGGAAGTATTTTTCCTTTTACAAAAAAAAAACCTTGCCTCAACATCCCGTTTGGAGGCCTCAATGGCAGCTCGAATCATTTGTTCTTCAATGTCATTTCCATAATCTGGCAAATCATCAAAAGCAGGAGCACTGGGTGTAACATCTCGGTAATTAGAGTTATCATTCTGCTGCACTGCTGAATCCTCATATACTTCATCAATTATAACAGTCTCATGGACATTATGGCCATGGGCTTGTGCAGTTTCAGAGACATCCTCATCAGCAGGAGCATTACCAGAATGACTGGATAGCTCATTGCTATTCTTAACCTCTATTGGTGCCTCTCTCACCTCCCTTGGACGTGTAACCCATGTCCCGTTTGGTACAACTTCAATTGGATCATCTATATCCATTACATCATCTACATGAACTGTGGTTGATGCTGGCCTTTTTGCAGGAAACGTGAAAATATAAATAAATAAATAACTCTACAAACCAATAATTACTTATCCCCAAAAAAGGATTAGCACAATTCATAAACATATACCTATCTCCTTTGCTGAAATGTGCATTTACAGCTGTATTGAGATCACCAGCATACTCCTGATCCCAACCCAAATAATTAATAGATAACCAAGAGGTGTTATAGCTGACTAGACTTTATGATAAGATGCAAAGAACCCAAACTAACTCTAAGACTTTGCAACACAACAAGAAATTAATTTGATAATAAGCAGCATTTTCCAACAACCACGAGCAATTGTCTACAGAACCAAACAACGCTTCACAAACAGCAAAATGAAAACCTATGAATCTGCTAGTTAGAATTAAACCTCAATTCAACATTCACCGTGAATGAGAGTCACGCAGAAGTTCAGATGCAAAAAAGAGTACCAAAGACCACTTGAGCTTCAAGAATTTTAAATCGCTAACCACATTCAACAACGCCTATTGCTGACCGTATTTATAAGAGCATGACTAAGTAATGGAGGTCAAACAACTTGGCCATTAGCACCAATCAACAATGCATAATTTTTATTTTTATTTTGTTGAATCCTTGAAAAAGAATACAACTCCAAACTAAAAACATTTACAATTTCAGTGCCTTTCCCCTTTTCTAGTGTCCAGTCAATCATCCATTTTCTTTGTTCCTTCTTTCCCTCTCAAATAAGGAAGCTCATTAGACTAATATAAGTTACACCGAAGAAGAACAACTAATTGAAAGAAAAAAGAATAAACTTCTCAACTAATTCATTCGAACATTAAAGTAACCCTCTGATTATAGCCATTGGCTAAAACCCTAATTCAATTACAACCGATAAAAATTCAGTTATCTTCAACAAACGAATGAAGCGGTGATCAGATAAATAAATCAACAACTTAAAGCAATAAAAACATTTTTAAAAAAGGAAAGAAATCAGCCGATCATTTATTAACCTATAATCAGAAGCCAATTCGGTAATCAAATAAAAAAAGGAAAAATTTAAACAAAGTGAAATTAAGATCTTGTAATTAAAAAGTTTCCTAAAACTACCTCAAACTTTAAAATGGCAACAGCTTCGGGTGCCCCAGTGATGCTGATGAAAGTGTCGATTGCTGCTTGATTAGCTCTCGCCATTGCGAAATTAGGGTTACTTTTTTTATGAAAAAATTAGTTTGCTTTGCAGCTTATAATTTCAGTTTAGAGTAGAGAGAGAGAGAAAGATAACTTGGTTAGGAGCAGATATGAAGCAAGAGGCCCTTTTATAGAACGGTTTGTAAGAAGAAGACAGTAATTTTGTTTTTAAAATTTATTTTCTTTTTTAATGCGTTTTATCAAAATTTATTAAATAATTCTTTTAAATATATAACAAAAAAATCAATTTGAAAGGTAAATAGAATAAATCAATTTGAAAGAATTATAAATTTTATTATGATTTATTTAAATTAATTAATTAATAAATTAAATATGTATTTTTATAAAAACAATTTAAGCATCTAAATGAATAAATATAATTTAAATATTTTTATTTTAATTGAACTTATTTTTTATGTTTTCTTGAACCATAACAAAGGAATTGTTTTTAAAAGGTAAAGCTGATCACGTCATTTCATGTTTTGTATGGTACGAAACACGGGAAACAATGGTTATTAATTTTAATTATTTGATGGGTGAATTACATTCAACGTCATTTATTTATAGGCTTAATAATAAATAGGGTAAACTACGTGTTTAACACTTAAACGATCAGTTTTAGTCTGTTCTAGTATCTAAATTTTCATTTTTTTCAAAATCATACCTAACGTTATGTTTTAATTTTTTTTTGAAAGCATAGGTACAAAAAATGATCAAAACTAATAGTTTAGGTACTAAACGTGTTAAGATTTTAAAGGTGGGGTACTAAAATAAAAAAAAACTAAACATTAGAAATTGTTTTGAAAAAATGAAAGTCTAAATATTAAAACAGATCAAAACTAATAATTTAGGCATTAAATCCCTAAAAAATACGTTATTCTCTTAAAAAAGTATGAACAAGTTATTCAATTAAATATTATTATAAATAAATTATTAGGTAAACTATGCGTTTAGTACCTAATCTATCGGTTTTGGTCCATTTTAGTAATTAAATTTTTAATTTTTTAAAACCATACTTAACGTTTAATTTTTCTGTCATTTTTGCCCATCGTTAAAAACTTAACGTATTTGGTACCTAAACTATTAGTTTTAGTCTGCTTTAGTACCTAAACTTTCAATTTTTCGAAACTTAATGTTAAGTTTTTAACGGGATACTAAAATGAAACAAAAATTACATGTTAGATATGATTTAAAAAATTAAAAGTTTAGGTACTAAAACAAACTAAAATTGATAGTTTATGTACTAAAGGCATAATTTACCCTAAATATTTAAATGTTCCAATCAAATCACATGCCTATTTAAATGTGATCGCCGATCTTTCAATTTGATCAGACCACCTAACTATTTAAATGTTCCAATCAAATCACATGCCTTAACATTTAACGGACGTGTTGTAGCAGTTAAAATGTTTTGGTATAATTATACAATTGATCCCTGTTATTTATTTATTATTTAAACTTGATCCTAATTTAATAAATTAAAATAAATTTAACCCACAAATCATGACACCAAGGGGGATTTTGAACCCAAGACCTTAGGCAAAAAATGGTAGGAATCAAACCATTATGCCAAGATAGTCTTTTAGTATATTTTGTACAACAAATAATACATATATTGTATTGTAAATGGTTTATTCAAAATTAATAACATTTTATATATCTTAAATTTTAAAATTATCTTTTCATTTTTTTAAAATTATTAAATGTTTTTATTTTTGTCTTAATTTGTTAAATATATTTTGTTATTTTGAAGTAAAAATATATTATCGTTATGAACACTTAAAATTATTTTTTAAAATATCATAACTTAAAATATATTTAAATATTTTATTATTATTTTAACTTTTAAAAAATGTTTTTAAAACATCTTAATTTAAATTATATTTTATTCTTAAGTTAAAATATATTTTGAAGTTAAAATATTTTAATATATTTTTAAAAGTTAAGATAATAATAAAATATATTTTAAATTTAAAATAATATATATATATATATATATTTATATTAAATTAATAATAAAATATTAAATATATTTCAAGTTAAGATATTTAAAGATATTTTTAAGTGATAATAAAGATAGTTTTTTATTTTAAATTAATAATAAACTATTTAAATATATTTCAAGTTAAAATATTTTAAAAAAATATTTTTGAAGTGATGATAAAGATAATATATATATATTTTTATATTAAAATAAAATAAACTATATTTATTTTTAAAATTTAAGGATATATAAAATATTATTAATTTTGACTAAAATATTTTCATACTAAGATACAAGAAATATATTATTTGTTGCCCAAAACTACCAAAGGGTTACCTTGCTCCTACTATTTTGCCCAAGGGTTTTGTGTTCGATTCCCTCTACCTACATTAGCGTTGATTTATTTTCTTTCAATCAGAGGGTGACACGTGTCACCCTATGATTGATGTGAATAAATCTATTAAATTAAAAATAAATTAAAATACATTTAGTTTTCCAATCAAATGATGACACGAGTCATGACAGGTGCCACCGATGACACATGTTACCCCTTGATTCGTGGGTTAAATTTATTTTAATTTATTAAAATTATGATCAAATTGAAAGAATATATAAATAACAGGGACCAATTGTGTAATTATACCACAATATTTTAACTGCCACATCATCTAGTCCGTTAAATGTTAACTACAAGTGGCTTGATTGAAGCATTTAAATAGCTGGGTCGTCTGATTGATTAAATTAAATCATCAATGGTCAAAATGATTTTTAGTCACAGTTGAGTAGTCACCCGTGTAGTTTACCCTAAAATTTTAAAATAGTTTATTTGTTGATACCTACTCCCTTCTCTAAGTTGTGGGTTTAGAACTTATTAAGAGCAGAATTTTTCTTTCCCTTCCCCCCAAATAAGAATAGTTAAAAATAAGCATATCAAACTCATTTTCTAATATCTCTTGAAATTTCTTATTCATTTTCTTCTTCTTCTTAATTTTATTTATTTTTTTCTAGGTTTTTTCCTATCAAACCTTTTACTGATCCTTTGTCAGTCATACCAACCATTATTGTTATACGTGGTTAAAAAATCTAAAACAGATATCTCAATTTGATTTTTTTTCCTGTTTGAATTCAAATATAACTTCATTTTTTCCATGATCGTATTCGATTTTTAATAGATTTAAAAGAAAAATTCCAAATTTATCCCATATAATCTCGAAATTTAGTTGTACGATTGAGACAATTTTTAGATTTAGTGACCTTCTTGTTGCAACGTTTTTTTTTCTCGTCATCGGAATTTACCGATAAAAGTCTTTCTAACTCCTTTTTAAAAAAAAAAAATTGTTTGCTTTTAGCGGTTGTTATGCTTTTCTTTTTTGTAAGCTATAGTTTAGTTCCATCATAAAATCTTCTAAAGGATATTTATTTATTTATTTTTCATGGGGGTGGGGGTGGGGGTGGGTTTATATGTTTAGTAGTTGCTTATATTATTGGGATATGATGAGTGTTTGAGTAAGATTTAATTATTATAGTTTATATGTTTAGTAGTTGTAGTTTCGCCAACTTTCGAGACACACACCAAACACATCCAAGTCCATCTTCCAGTGAAATTGAGTCTCTAAGAATTCCATCGAAGTTCTCCCACGAGGTCCAGGACCTCCGTTCCTGCAATGCCGATAATAGTCCTCTATTCTATTCGGCATCACCGCTACAGTGTACGTTTAAGAGAAGCCCCTTCACTTCTGCCGAGAGTGATGGATCAAGAAGCTAAGTAAATGGTTACACAGACCACCCAAATTACATGGCATACACCGAGTCATCAAAGGCTAAGGTTAGGTCTCTAAGTGCACCAAAACAAAGGCCTCACTATGAAAGATCTAACTCCACAAAAAGGTATTCCATTCATGATTTTGTTGAGCCGAAATCAGATACACAAAAGTCTGCTTTGCCGGAGCAAAGCTTTCCCTGTGGGTCAGGTCGGTTAGGCAGGCTAGGAATGCCCTTTGGATATAATTACTAAGGCACAAATGTCTCAAGTATTTTGGTGGCCTTTTGCTTTAGGAAATGTTTAGTTTTGCATAGTTAAGTTTATAGATGAAAACTCTGACGTATATAGCTTTTGTATGTCCCAAGTACTTGGGTTTTTTTTAACAACTCCTAGGTAAAGTAAACTTTTGTTCCTAATGAATATTAAACCCACAATTTAAGGGAGAGTGGAGATGTCAATTTAACTACGTGCTCTAATAATTATTTACAGATCTTACTTGGTTTTTAAATTGCCCTAATAATTATGTACAGATCTTACTTGGCTTTTAAATTGTCTAAAAGTGTACATTCCATGTCCATTTCAAAATAATTGAAAGGAGATTCTTTCACTTGAGCTTTGAAAAAGCCCAACAAAGCACTTGCTGCCAACCCATGACAATTCTTTCAAAAAGGCTATCAAAACGCTTTTGTAAATCAATTTTTCAAATTGGGTCTAGCAGAGAGTATTAGCCACAACGTGTCTTCCTCTGACAAAAACACTTTGATTAAAAGCCATCATTTGAAGTACCCTGACAAACTTTTAACTACCAATATTATTGTAATATTCATTTAAAAAATTGAACAAGAGACAGGCCTAAATTCCTTCACCAAATTAGGGCTTTCGACACAAAAGATGTAGCATTGAAAGCAGATAAAGATCGGACCGAGGAAAAAAGCGCTTCATTGCAGCAACAAAAGCATTACCAATGACAAACCACGATTTTCTTGGCATGTTCAATACTATCCAGTTTAATGACCCTTAGTGGTCCAGGTCCAACTATGTCTCCTTCAATCCTTGGCATTGGTATATACGTGTTAAAAAGAACATTTAATCCCATCATCAACCTTATTATATAACGCCGTTAGAAGCATATTTATAACACGCACCTATCGCTATCATGCAGCAGTCGCACCAGAACAATTATCAATGGATAATTGTACCTTAAACAAATAAAAATAATACAACCTACATTGAACGAAAATATTTATATCCAAAGTAAATAAAAATTATAATTAGTTTAATTATTTATTTTTCTAACTCATCGAGTGATCGAATAATAAAAAATAAAAAAATATTATTCTCTTCGATAGGCATAATTTCAAACAGCTTGTCAGTAGTGTATGCATGTTATTAATACCCCTTATAATATACTAATAAAAAATACTCGTGTTTTCATTAGCATAACCTATACTAGCAGCCCATCTTCAAACAAATCGAATCTGAGGAAAAATTATCCAAAGTCCAACCTGCATACCCTAAGTTAATAAAGACTTCACAAGTGTTTTGTCGGATGACTAACCCCATGGTTGGAAGTTGGAACATGGAAATTGTAACATAAATAGACATTTTTTTCATACTTATTAGTTATACAATATTGTACAAATTAAGGTTTCGGTCTTAAATGGATCAAACCGAGAATTTGACTCACTTCATCCAATTTCTTCGTTCTCGTTATCAGAAAATGGTTCTCGGGCCGACCCGATTTTATCTTTGATGTTCTCTTCAGTTTATGAGCCTAGGCCCGGATGTTGGAACCCGGATCCAAACCCGAAGTATCCCACATTGCAGAACGAGACCGCCACGTTCCGGTTTCCGAGCACGTGATTAATCGAAAAACCATTGATATGCAAGTATAAACGACAGATCTTTGATTATTTCCCAAGCTCAAGCCACGTGGAATCCTGATCATCCGTCTTCCCATTCAACGGTTCTCCTTTAACCTCAGAACCAGACTCAACATCAAGCTGTTGTACTTGATTATTGTCAAGCTCCTCATCCTCACCCTCTCGCCTCATTCGCTTCAAGCCAATGGAAACTCCGAACAACTTCGGCGTCGCATCCTCCCCCACCTCCTCTTGCTCCCCATCATCCGTCTTCATCGCCGCCTTCGAACCACTATCTTCCGTCGCTCTTGTCTGATCTCTCGCCGGCAAAAGATCCAACGCCTTCCCTTCTCCCACGCTCTGGTGATTCTCCGATTGGCCCGAGGCATAATTCGTCACCAAAGTGAATATATTGTTACACAATCCCTTCAACCGAGTCAGTTCCTGGTTCAGCTGCATGTTTTCTTTCCTAAGCCTGTCGTTCTCCTCTAAAAGCTCCGGCGTCGTAGTGCAACTCGTGCTCCGGTGTAGAACGGTGGCGACTGGAGGCGTGCTCCACGAAACAACCTGCTCTTCCCCCGAATTAGATGGTGATGCTGATACTTTAGTACAAGGAACCGCCGCAACGGTCACCGTACCGGAAGCAGCAGCGACGGTAGCAGTTATTTTCCGGCGCTGTATGTCTCGAAGAAGCCCTTTCTCGCCTCTTCGAAAACAATCGGTAGCGAACTCCCATCGATCCGGCACTACCTTCCTGAAACCCTAAAATAAAAAGAAAATAAATTCATTATACATTTAAACAAAACTCGATTAAGCTGTCTATTATTAGCTTCAACACTTACATATGTGTTTAGTTGGCGGACGAAGCTAGAGAAGTTGTTGTGTTTGAAGTATTTAGGGAGCAAATCACGAGCGAACTCAGCAGGGCGCCAAACTATGAAACTCGACCCGTCGTCATTCCATGAAATCAACTCATCAATGGAAGGATCGTCAACGAGTTGATAGGTTTTGGTAAGGAACGGAGTCGGTAAAGAACGTTGAGACTCAGTAGCAGTACCGGCAACGGCATGGGACTCGCCGGGTTGGTCGGCCGGTAATGGTGCCATGTGGTTCGGTTTTAAGATCAGAACCCTAGAAAACGGGATTTCTCCGGCTATTGAGATTCCTTCGGCGTGCCTTAACTGGTCAGTAAATAAACTCAAATTAGACTAAATGAATAAAAAATACAAAAAAAAAAAAACAATGGCACCGTTTGGTATCAGAGAAAGTGCGAGAAAGAGAATATATACTCCTACCTTCGATGTTTCTAGCTAAAAATATCTAGCCTAGCATAACTTATTTCAGTTTCGTAAAAACATTAACACAATTTCCAGATGCTATGAACAGTTTCTTGATCATGTAATCTTTTAGACCTAAGTAATAATTATAAGCAAACATTTTAACATCAATTCATTTATTTCTTAAATCATAAAGCACACATTAAAAATCAAAGTCTTCAAATCTAACTGAAAATAATTAATAAGATATTATATGAGTATTGAAAGCTAATTATTCTTACCTGAAAGGAAGCGAGAATTTTCCAAGCAACCAAACAAGATGTAAGAAACGTGGCGCATTCGACCATACACCGTTGAATCGAGAGATTCCAACGCCGTGACCGGAATGGAAGACGGCGCGTCGACTGCTAGGGATCGGCGGTTAGGTTTTGTGGTTAGTTCTAGAAGGTTCAGGTTGGAGTAAATGATAAGGGAGAAAGGCAGAGAAAATAAGAGAGATGGTGAGTTCGAGAAGGAAAGGGAAATAAAAAGATTGTTTTTTAAATAATTTCTTTTTAGAAAAAGGGAAAAGAAGATAGAGGAGAGGTGCGAAGTACGTGGGACCCACGCGCACACTCCGAAACAAAAGGAAGGCGCCAGAAGCAGAAGGGTGCCCTTTTTTTAATGTTTTACTTATGGTCTTCGAGAAACTTCCCTTCTCTTCTTTCATACCGTTGTTGGCCGGTAAAAGGGTCACGGTAAACAGTAAACCTTTCGAAGTTTTTACTGTTAATTACAACGTGACCATGGTGTCTATCTCCCGGTCGGAATGGGTATGGTTGTCAGATTTTATACGGAAGAAATATCACACTAGACCTGTACTCTGGCACAAAATAAAAAAATATTGGGTAAACTAAGCCATTAGTACCTAAACTTTAACATTTGATCCGATTTAATACCTAAACTTCCAATTATTTTAAAATCATACTTAACGTTTAAGTTTTGTTTCAATTTAGCATCCCGCCGTTAAAAACTTAACGGCAAAACTAATGTGGTATTTTTAATTATTTTTTATATTATTATTTAATTAGTTTTAATAAACTAATAAGGTAGTGACAACCTTATTTGGATTAAAATTTAATTTGGTCTTAATAATTTAATAAGTCTAGTATGGTTAAAATAATTGGATCTTAATTTTTAATGGATTTGAACTGATTTAGAACCGAATATTAAAAAGATAATAGTTCTCTAATCGAACCAATTCTGTGATAGACCGTTTTAACCAAACTAATTCAGTTTGGCCAATTAATTTTGACCTCAAATACCCAGGGTGAATTGTGCTAATTGGTGGTGGTATACTGAATTCTGTTTTGTGTTTCCTATTTGTGTCTTTTTGTTCATTTGGGCCAGCTTTGGTAGGTGCTTTGGTTGATATTTTAAAGTGTTAATTTTTGTAAGGTTATTTATGTATTTGACAATGATGTGATACATTATTTTTCCTTCATCTAAAATTAGATAAATTTTTTAACGAGGTTCATATTCTTATCGGCTCTGTATGATAAGATTTACTTAAAAATAAAAAATAACACTCATATCGTCAGGTTTAATGCAACGAGGCAATTATGTGTGGATATTAGTGAGCCCAAAAGCTTGGGTCAATAGTAAATGTAAAGTAAGATTAACATGGACGACTCTTGTGTTGCTTCCTCTGGTGTTCAGACCACTGACATCATTGCTCGGGATTCTCAAGGGCCGGTGCTTTGTGGTCGTACTCAGCATTATAACATCTATTCTAAGAAAAATAAACATTGAAAATTAGTAAGATATAGAATTTGACAACTCATTTTTCAATTAAGCCTAAAAGAATAATAACGGATCCGAGAATCTAGGTGTCACAATGATACTTGGAGTTCAACACGTGCCTTGTTGCTCTAACGCAGAAATGCTCTGCTCTTTGGCTAAATTAGAGACATCGTTTGTTTTTAATTTTACTTTTCTAACACCGTTCGATTAATATTTCTAAAACTAGCACCTTTTCTGCTGAGTTGGTAAAGGCGTGTCCCCGGGGACGCGCTTTACCCGTGTTTTCGCTGAGTTGGATGCCACGTGTGAAAGGCGCGTCCCCGGGGACGCGCCTTTGCCATATCAGCAGACACGTGTGGAAGGCGCATCCCCGGGGACGCGCCTTCCATTAAATGTCATAAATGCCCCCATCCGTTTTTCCTAACTACCCTCCTCCTCCCCTATATAAACCCCCTCAACCCTCACTCATTCTTCACACCAAAATCATCTTCTCCTCTCTTATATAACTCAAATTCTCCAACTATTTGAGTTTTAAATTTGTTATTAGTGGTAAGAAATTTATTTTTATGTTAGTATTTTTTTAAATAGTTATTATTTTTTATATTAATATATTTATGTAAATATTATTTTTTTATTAAAAAAATATTTATATAATTATTATTTATTTAGAATTATTAATTTTTTTGCTAATTATATTGTTTTGTCTACAGTTATAATGGAAAACGAAATGCTGTTGCGATTGGATATTGATCATATCTCCAGACATTTTAGCGATATGGTAATATTTTTTATAATTAATGTTAATATTTAAATTTATTTTTATTTTAAAGTTATTATGAATTTATATTAATTTTTACTTTTTATAATATATATTATTTAGGATGCTGATCGTATTTTAGAAACTTTTATTAAAAATCCACGTATACCGACACCGGAACGTATTTTGCCATATTTGGCTTCTGCTGGGTTCGGGTATATTGCAACAATTATAGGCGGTTGCAAACTCGAACCTGTCCTAATTTCTGCACTGATTGAGAGGTGGAGGCCCGAGACACACACTTTTCACCTTCCATGTGGAGAGGCAACAATTACATTTGTCAATGTATGTACACCTAAATAATTTTTTTTAACTTTTAAATACATAAATATATTTAATATATTTATTTAATATAATATTTAATATTATTAGTTATAATTTTTTTAAAATATAATAATAATTCCACCTTCTAAGTAGAGAAAAATATTAAATTAAACAAATTAAAAGTTATTAAAAAATTTATGTATACGATGACACATTTCATGTTCTGATTAGAGGATTAAATTTATTAAATTAAATTTTCAATAAGACTAATTTTATAAAATATGTAAGTCTTGAAGATTAAATATGTAATTATACTAATTTATTAACTTATGCATCAATATTTTCGTTAAATATTGATATGAGATGACTATATTGATTGATAACATTTAAATAATTAACTGATAAAATTAATAGATCGATAATCAAAATCAAAAATACTCGAAACTTGATAATTCTTACATTATAATCGAAACATTTTACATAATATATTATTAATTTATAATAATAATAAAAATAAACTATTTATTATATAATAAAATACGTGTCTGCTGAGTTGGCAAAGGCGCGTCCCCGGGGACGTGCCTTTCACACGTGGCATCCAACTCAGCGAAAAACACGGGTACCAACTCAGCAGAAAGGGTGCTAGTTCTGGAAATATTGATCAAACGATGTCAGAAAAGTAAAATTATAATCAAACGGTGTCAGTTATGTAAAACCCCTGCTCTTTTACATCTGTTGATCACCAGTCTGGTCTAGAGACTAGAGTCGATAGCTTTTAGAAAACCACTGCGCTTCGGGAAAGCCTCAGAAGACAAAAGAAACAGTACTGGCAGCTTGTCTAAACCAAATACATGGGACCAACGCCCCCGGGTTTCCCTCAATCTCTTCTCCTATAAATATAAATCAACACTCCAACATTCTCCACACGTTAAAACTTGCCCCAGTTCACCGGAGTTTCTTTCGTCCTCCTCAAAAAACACATTTTTCGGGAATTAAAGATAATTGAAAAATGGACGTGTTATTCCCGAAGAGTATTATTATAACAAACAAGAAATTGGAAATGGAAGAATGCTTTCTTTCAATTACTGTCAAAAGAAAGTTACAAAGCTGTTTATATACCGCTATAATGTTAACTAACTAAGTAACCGTATTAGAAAACAGAATAAAACAGTTAATTAATTACAGTTAATGTATCCTAATACCCTCCCCTCTAGCTGGAAGTGCATGGATATTAAGAAGACCCTACTTGACAATAAAACCACGATGCATGGGAGGCCGAAGAGACTTTGTGAAAATATCAGCCAACTGATCTGAAGAGCGAACATGAAATAGCCTCAAAAAATCAGCCTTCACTTTGTCCCTTACAAAATGACAATCAACCTCAATATGCTTTGTCATTTCATGAAATAATTGATTTGTTGCAAGATTAATTGTAGCCTGGTTATCACAATATAACCTTGTATGATCAACAACCACATGAAATGAAGAGAGCAAAGAAACAAGCCAAACCATTTCACACGTCCATGGCTCGATATTTGGCCTCGCAAGAAAATCGACTAACAACCACATGTTTCTTTGATTTCTAAAACACCAAGCTATTTCCAAAGAAAGCACGAAAACCTGCCATGGAACGTCGTGTGTCAAAACACGAGCTATAATCTGAATCAACAAATATACTTAATTGATCAGTGGTCTTAACCGGAAAAAGTAAGCCAAGGCCAGGAAAATGTTTTATGTATGCCAAAAGATGCTTCAAAGTTGTCATGTGAAGTAAGCGAGGATAATAGACGAACTGGCTTAACAAATGCACAATATGAACAATGTTCGGCCTGGTATTAGTCAAGTATAACAAGCGACCTATCAATCGGCGATACTCCTGAGAATCAGATAGTAATTCTCATTCATTTGCACTTAACTTCGAGGAAAGTAACATGGGCGATTCGACTGGTTTAGCACCCAAGCAACCTGTATCCCCCAATAGTTGCAAGGCGCATTTTCTTTGAGATAAAACAATATCAGAACTATTCCTAACTATTTCAAAGCCAAGAAAGTAATGCAAATGTCCTAATTCATTTAGTATGAAATGTTATACTAAAAGACCTTGAATCTCATGAAGCAACTGTAAGTTTTTCCCAACCAGAACAATATCATCTACATAGACAATAAGAGCAACAAATTCATCTCCACAACCTCTTGTAAACAAAGAATGTTCAAAGGGAGACTGCTGAAAGCCGAGCTGAAGAATAACATTAGAAAAAACAGTGAACCATTGCCTGGACGCTTGCTTAAGACCATAAATGAACTTGCGAAGTCTGCAAACCATATTAGATCCCTTAAGCTCAGGCTTCTATCCAGGAGGTAGTTTCATGTAGACCTCATCATCTAAGATGCCATTTTGAAAGGTATTATTAACATCCAGTTGAAGCAAATGTCACTTACATGTTGTTGCAAGAGAAAGCAATACCTGAAATGAAGTCATCTTTGCAACTGGTGAGAATGTATCCATGTAGTTAATCCCCTCAACCTATGTAAAACCCTTAGTAACCAATCGGGCTTTATGATGATCAACCGAGCCATCAACATTGTACATTACACGGTAAACCCATTTGCAATCAACAACATTCTTTCCATTGGGTAAGGGAACAATGGTCCATGTATCAAGA